CGAGAAGCACTGTCAGCCGGCCATGATCTTAGCAACTTTTCCGGTATACGCTTTCTATTAATTTATTATTCGTTTTTAAAATAGGACGTATCAACGACGCTGGTTTCAGTTCAAGTGAACGAGGAGCTCACTGAAGCACACCGAATAGCTGTGAAAGAATGTATTCAGAATGCTGATAAACTGACAGATCTCCACAACCAAATACTTGCTTGTGATCAAGTCTTTGAGGTAACTTTTCAATTGATAGTATAGCAATTAAGATCAAAGGGTTCCTGAGCTTCATTGTGTGATAATTTCTTTGTGATCAATTCAAATGAAACTCTTCAAACAGCTTTATGGGACGACGTTTCGGGCCTTAAGCCCTTCCTCAGGTCTACAAATACAAACATGCTAATTTTACATCAACAATCGATCTAGATGAGACAATTACAATACATTGAAAAACGAAAAAGCCTTAACAACTGACCAACTTAGGAAAAATTGGATTAAGGGCGGGTTGATCCCGGGAGCTTCAAATATTGCTGCAAATGATGTGGGATGAACATGGATAGGACTACGTGAAAGGGGGTCAGAGGTGATGGAGGTTTTATGCAATTGTGCGGGTGTATATCATGCGAAAGCATAATTCTTTTCTTTGTGTACACAGCTGACGCATAAGCAAAGCTTGAACATTTTGTAGCGTTTGGAGAAAATGTTGCTTGGTTTCCAAGGCGACCTTGGCACTATCAGTGAAGATATGAAACGGTTGCAAGAGCAGTCCGTTTCGATAAACCAGGTGAATTTCGATCCCCTCATGTTCCGGAATATTCTTGGTATCAAATAATGAAATGTGTCCATTTTAGGAACTGGAGAATAGGCAAAAAGTTCGGGGCGAGCTGAGCCAGTTTGTGGATGACATTATCGTCCCACAGAATATGATAAAGTAAGAGGTTCCCGCTTCAATAAATTTCATCTTATTTCTGTTTTCTTTGCAGAGTTATAATGGAAACTGATGTAAATGATCGTGCTTTTCTTGAGCAGTTGCACGAATTACAGCATAAGATCAACTTCATCAAGGCTCAAGAGTCCAAGGATGCGCGTTCTGTTTACGATGTGCTAGGGGTTCTAGAAAGCCTGAAATTCAAGGTATGATTTACATGCTTTTTTTCGAAGGCCTTTTAGATTACTCGTTTTTAGGCTATCGAAAAAATAAGAGAGTGGATCCTCTCGAAAGTCTACATGTTTCGCAAGCCTTTATCCAATTACCAAGTTCCACAACATCAGCTTCTGAAGTCGCGATTCTTTTACGAGTTCCTCGCCGCAAATGAGAGCAACATAGCTCAAGAGGTTTGTCCCGAATCTCCTACAAGTATGTGGGAAGAATTCGTCTTGATCCCTTGATATTTATTCACTGTCTATGGCCATGGTCCCTTCCGTTTTTCAGGTGCAAGATGAATACGTTGATACAGTCAGCAAAATGTTTTTCTCCTACTTCAAAGCCTACGTCACACGTTTGTTCAAATTGTTGGTACGTTGTGTTGTGCCATTTTCTTAAATAAAGTGCCTTCTGTTAATCTCGTAAAGCACATGAGATCCGTTACGGTGACATTCGTTGAAAATCATCTCACCTTACAAACCCCCTTTTGGACATTCTTGCGCGGGAGCATGAATGGAATTCAAATGTTTCTTTCCCGTTCGGGTTGTGGTGGGAGGCGAGTATGCGCTGGAATAATATGTGTGATCCGTCACATCACGATTGAGTAATTATTCCGGGTGGGATAAGGTAAAGGCGATCTCTATTCCACACATATCTATACACTAAGGGTGTGAAACTTAGCCTCACTAGATATTATCTCCGCAGTTGTCTATTATTTTGCTTATAATTTCAGATGCTGGACGCCGCTTCCAAAGATGATTTATTAGGTGCTGAGGATGTGGTGAAATCTGGAGGTATCTCTGGCTTATTTGCAGGAAAGCCTCATGTAAGGAAATGTATTGCTTTAGTTTATCTTTATTTTGCTTCAGTTTGTTTTTATTTTGCTTTAGTTTGTTTTTATATTACATGTTCAATGCTTTTCAGCATCGAAATAGGGCAACGGTGTTTTCATTGGGTTCTCGACAAGAGATACTAACACGCGATTTCCTTAATCCTCTTATTGTTCCTCATGCTGCCCAAGAAGCTAATCAGAAGGTAGTTTTCCAATTTTCACTGACTCGGGTACTATCGCGAGTTTGTTAAAGCGAGAGATTGCGATAGGATTCTGTTGTGCTCATAGTGGAAGTGAAGATGCTGAATAATGCCCTAGTAGCGAAAAAAGCAAAGAAATCCGTCAAAAACGCGCAAAATGGGACCACTTCCTCTGCCCGTTGACCTCCGATAATGGACGAGTTGGCAACCAACTAAGAGGTCGTCGGCACTCGTTAAACCATAGCTGCCATCATACCACCAGAGATCATACCTTGATTGATATAGCATTCCATGAGAAAAAATTGGATACGCGCTCGAAGTGGCATACCTTATCAGAATGATAATCGAACAGCGATCTGCTGAGGGGCGGAGCTCAGAAAGGATTGGCAGCCCCAGGGCGCTGCAACGAGCGCACCTTTAGTCACAAAAAGGCCACATCTCGATTCCTTTGGGCTCTAGCTACTGCTTGAAGTGCTGCTCGTTCTTCCATGCTGCACAGAAATTTTATCGTAATTTCTCGCTTTAAGGCATTTTCCGTGATTTTGCACGCTCATTGCAACAATTTTGGCGCGGTCATCCAGAATCTTAACTATAAACTTTTTTTAATAATCAGATTTTTTATTAGGTTAGAACCTCAAAAATTTTCCAGTTCCAATTCGAAGCTTTGTTCCGCTCAATTCATCTTGCTTTCGTGGATCACTGTAGCCATGAGTTTTTGTTTCTGACCGATTTTTTCATGGTATTCAGGCCAAACAGCAATTGATCTACATGCGAAGGTAACGAATAATTTGTAGTTTCTAAAGCATAGTGCTATTATTGAAAATTTTTTAACGGGTTCAAGCCAAAGGGGTCTATGGCGTGTTTACCAGGACGTGCGCACTGGCTCATTTGGTTCGAGCGTTCGATGAGAGGATTGCGGTTAATTTCGACTGCATTAGCCTTCATCTGTGCATTTGTCTATGTGACAAGTTTCACCGGTTATTGACCGAAAGAGAAATCCCGTCAATGAGCGGGTGAGCTTTTTTTCTACAATTTCGCTTTCATAAGATCCATAGTTTGATAGTAGGCATTCATTTGAAACATCTTCACATGCGCTTCAGCCATTTTTCCATATGTTGTATCGGTAGGCATCTTCTGATGGACCTTGTTTTCAGATACTGGGAAGCAATATCAAATCAACTGTGGACAGGCTAGCGCAAGTAATGCAGATGCATAATGATAGTGTAAAGGCCCTTGATGTTAAACGTATGCAAACACCGATCGATACGAGACCACACTATGTAGGTGTTTTCAATCTGTAAAGCTGTCTTTCTAAAGACGTTACGAAGTATCCAAGTTCACACTCGACATTTCTATTACCTTTGATCTTTCTTTGAAGCTGAGACGTCAGAGTGAGCAAATAATATGTTCAGCGGCTTCCTCTGATTTATTCTTAATTAATTGGTCTCCACAAAAGCTTTTTGGATTCGAACTGAATTGAATCGTTGTGCCTAAATTATTTCGTGGCCATTTCTATAAGGTTTCCTGGTTCCTGTTGTGGAGCATTCCCTCCTTAAAACTTAACTACTCTTGAACCCATCTTTTTTAAATTATCTGTGTCTTTCATTCGTTATGTGAATTTTCCACTGTTATGTGTTTCTCTTTAACTGCACTGCTCAGTATGGATAGTCGGGAGTCTGACTACTACTAATTAGACTCCCCCGATAACGCACGCTGACAGGTTCCGAAACGAATGCTTCTTTGGGTTTAGATTGTGAGACGATATGCTGAGTTGACATGCGCTTTCCTCGTTGTGACAGAATCGAGAGTGGACGAGAGGTGCTTTGGATCTTCTCCTTCACCTATTTCCACAGAAAGATAAATTTATGTTTAGTTGGGAAAGAAAATGGAAGCCATCCTTGAGTCGTGTGAGGACGCTGTCGAACAACTTCTTCTCCGAATGTCCTCCTGCCTACCGAATACTAGAGATCGGCTAGTCTTCCTTATCAATAATTACGACCTGACACTTGGCATAATCGATGTGAGTTTTATGTCTTCGGAGTGCGATGTCTTTCAATCCATATTGTTGTGACGGACCTCTTGCATGATCATGGCTTACCCTACCTTGCATTATTAAAGGAACGAGTGGTCCAAGATAGCCGAATTCATTCGATAATTCATGAGTTGGAGCAGAAGGCTATCGGAGAATTCGTAGAGGTAAAGATTCTACTATTTATTGTTTATCATTTTAGTTGTGAAGTGTTCTTCATTTTCTTCCAGGCAACACTGCAACCCCATTTTTCCTCGCTACTTTCGTTTGTTAGTGAATGTGAACCATTAGTTCAGCAGGGGCATACTCATCTTCTGGTTCGATACAATGGTAACTCTAAATTTCGTCCGTTTTTACCTTCTTAAATTTGATTTTATTGCTTTGTAGACAAACTGACGGCAGTGGTACAAACGTTTTCTGCAAATTGGAGGCGTTCAATAGATGCTATAAATGGCGAAGTTGTGAAATCCTTCACAAACTTCAAAAATGGCACAAATATTCTTCAGGTGAGCTTTCACTGCATAGGTTTGTTGGATTAAGTACGAAAACCAAGTTTCAGGCCGTATTCACGCAGTTGGTTCAGTATGTACAGCGGTTCTCCAAATTGGTGTCGCATGAAATTTTCCGTGATAATCCGGCACGTAACGACATGGTCAATATTCATCATATATTGGTGGAATTGAAGAAATATAAGCCGGTTTATTAACTCTGGCTGATATGTCACTGCAAACACTGTGGTCCCTGCTCTCTACGACTCATTCGCTTACGGTAGATCAATGGAAGCTCCGCAGTAATTTTCAGTGGAATTCTTCCGTATTTCCGAAGTAAACGAAAACTGGCACTGTCTTTTGGAAAATGGTTCAAGCGTCACACTTTGATACGCTACAGTGACACATGGGTGTGGGAATTACTTCGAAGAATTGAATTGGTAAATTTTGAATTTGTTTCGA